GCAATCATCAATCAAATTCAAAGGGAAGCCGGCGCATTCTGACTGCATCACTGTCTTTACTGGGTATGTTTAGGGAATATTTGCATTTATTCACATGCGATTTGATTAGCTAGTCATGGTGGACTGTCATGAATTTGGCTAATGCAGGACACTACTGAATGATGCGCATCAGAGGGGATTTAGAAGTGGGCATACGCAAAGCCGACTGATAAAGAAGTGGGTATACGCCGTATACCTGCGTATACCCTCCACTACACCACTGCCTATAAGACCTAAAATATACATGATGCGTTATATTTTAACCTAAAATCTTAAAATAAAAAGAAAAAAGTTTTTGCATTTTGTAAACTTCATCTTTTAGTATAACTATAATGACTACTGACATTGTACCCTGAACTGAATTAACACTTAAACATCAATATCTAATACAAAACTCATCAGAAATCACAATTAATCATGTCCGGTGTAACATTATAAATCAAGGCCTCCAAATCTTCTATTCACTGACAGCAACGAAGGCCTGGTGGATGTTCGTTTATCGAATATAAGGCGATGTAGAGAAAAACAACGACAATCTGTCATGTAAAACAGTCGGTAATAAACACTCCGTCATACCATATAACGCAGGATGCGCGTGTGAAAAGCGGATGAGTTCCCCTTCAAAATATCACTGTAGTGCTGTTACAGATCACCCCCGAAACACCGCAGAATAATCCGTGTCGAGAGCACGGATGAAGAGTACATACACGCGTTATTTGTAAAGATCACGATTAAAATAAACCAGAGATGCGCGTTAAACAGCACGCTCAACGCGACATCGGTGAATTTCCATCCATCCGTGCTCCGCAGATCAGAGCCGTGCAAACGCTGTAAACGCTGTACACACAGCAGCTGATTCACGCCGTCGGTGTTTTTACACGGATACAGAGCGTAACACTTTATCTCAAACCGTGTCAGAGTTTAATTTAAGTGGGTACAGTATATAAAACATGACAAATATGGATTCACTACTGTATATAAAAACAATAAAGGCATAATCTGGAAAACCAAGACTTGTGCATTATAGGGAATAATATTCTGAATATTTTACAGTTTGTTTGATACCTTTAGATCAAATGGTGTTGTCGTTTAATGGATTTATATTATTGCATACATTAAAAGTTGTAAAATTATTATAAAAAACATAAAATTGTAATTCCAAACCCGGAGCTTTGTGCGATAACAGGTATGTTTCCCCGAACATTTTAGTATTGGTTTTATATTATAATGTCACGTAGTTAAATTGTTTAATTAATTTAAATGGTTACATTATTATTTTTTTAACTCCTAGAAATTAAGCCTTGTGCAACATAAAGGGCATATATTTATGTCTATCTGAGTTAGTTTGGGCTCAAAACATAAAAGCTGCAAAGAGTTTAATTGGCAAAAAACCCGAATGTCTAATCAATGTCAAACGTCAAACTAACTTTACCGCCGTATTGTCACACTGGTAACATTACCAGTTAAATTTACCAGCGAGCCTTGACGTAGTTAAATTGTTTAATTAATTTAAATGGTTACATTATTTTTTTTTTAACTCCTAGAAATTAAGCCTTGTGCAACATAAAGGGCATATATTTGTCTATCTGAGTTAGTTTGGGCTCAAAACATAAAAGTCGCAAAGAGTTTAATTGGCAAAAAACCCGAATGTCTAATGAATGTCAAACTAACTTTACCGCCGCCATGAAGCGTTTTACGCCTAAAAATAGCAAGACGGCGCGAACAAAACAAAACACAAGGGTCTAGAGGTGTTATCATTTAACTACGTAGTGTTTTTATCTTCCACCCCGCTTTAAAACGCGACGCTACTGCCAAAGACGCCCGTCTGATGCTTTTGTTTACACCAGCACAATAGCAATAATGTTTTAAAGCCGGCGTTTTCATGATACTTACAGGTTAAATACGCTGTCCAGTTCTTTTGTCACATATTAGGCTACTCCAGGTGAATTTCTGCATTCATTCCTTGATGAATGGATCAAACACTGCGCATGCGTGCTCGGAGTGAAGAGAATCGGATCCTGCCGAGCAGGTTCCTCAACTCCCTGTTTGTGTAAGTACGTCAAACACACTCCGTGTTTCTCAGAAATATGGACAATGTCGGTGTAATTAAGTTTACAGTGTAGCTAACTCTTATTTTTAAGTAGCAGCACAAACAAAACAGTAGCCTACTGATAGTGTCAGGTTTTGCATTCATTCTATAAGAAACATGTTGTCAAGTGTATTTTTTTTTTAATCATATTTATTAATTTTTATGTTTACATATATAAGCTATTTTATGTTTTACAGTCATATTTACATCTAACATTCATTGTACACTCTAAAAAAATGCTGGGTTAAATACAACCCAGTGCTGGGTAAAATAGGGACAAACACAGCAATTGGGTTGTTTTGACCCAGCGGTTGGGTTACTACCCAGAAGGTTGAGTTAAACATTTAACCCAACCGCTGGGTCAAAACAGCCCAATTGCTGGGTTTGTCAAGAAACATGTTGTCAAGTGTATTTTTTTTTTTTTACCATATTTATTAATTTTTATGTTTACATATATAAGCTATTTTATGTTTTACAGTCATATTTACATCTAACATTCATTGTACACTCTAAAAAAATGCTGGGTTAAATACAACCCAGTGCTGGGTAAAATAGGCAGCACTGGGTTGTATTTAACCCAGCATTTTTTAGAGTGTAGGCATTATTTCAAGTCATGTGCATGAAGACAGAAGCACGCAGGTAAATAATGAGCCCAGATTGCAGTTGCATCCTGAGTGTTTATTGTTATTGTCTGGTACCTGCATTTCTGCATGGATGCTGGAAACCCATCATAGTATTTTGCATAGGTCTCTGATGCCCATGTCATGTGGATGAAACAGTCGGCACATCATGCAAACCATGCAGAATAGTGAAAGGCACAATCACCATAGATATCATGTACACCAATCATTTTTAATACTCTATTTGTACTTCGTTACTAAGGTGAACATCTCTTCTAATAACAATATGAGGAAAAAATACAAGCATGTTTATTTTTGTAGTCTTTTCTCATTTCATGTTTTCAGTCAACCCTTCCTTAAATCACAAATAACTATCGCTTCCACTACAGATATCATTCTAGTCCCACAAATTAAATGAATTCTATTGAACACACACACACACACACACAGAAAAACAACACAATTGCCCAGTTGTTGCACTGAACAGCAGCGGTGGATCTGTTCAGAGGGCAGAGATCACTGAATGTACGTTCATTATGCGATATTGCCGTGTCCACTTCATCTAACATGTAGAAACAATGCAAATAGAAGACGACCTTCAAGTGGACGATGTTAAGGACCCTTGTAAGGCTACAGGGCTTTGGATGTTCCCAGATACACCACTGACATTCGTACTGCACTCTCTGTGGAGTCAATATAATGTAGAAACGGTCCATTTCAAATGAAAACAAAGAAATAAAAGCATATTTAGATTTACATTATAGTTACATTATTTTGTTAATAGATAGCTTTAGATGGCCTACTACAATAATAGTTTTACAGATTTTGGCAGGTGATAGGAAAGACTACAAGAAGAACTCTTAAAATGATTCAACACTAAACTGACAGAAGAAATAAAAGAAAATTGCATGTAAAAGCAAATCCTCTTAATGCAAAACAGCTCAATGGTGGTACTGACAACATGGCAAACGTTGGTTCCTATCATAAAATACCCAGGAAGAATGTGTACTCAAGTTTTTGGAGCAACATATGGTTAAATGATACCATGAAAACAGGAAGGTGATGTTTCAAAATGAAAATAACGCAAACACTGAACTGTAAATAGTTTGCAATTACATACATTTGAATGCAACTAACTGTTTACCTCTTAAGGTAGCTTTTTTTCCCCAACTCATGCATGTTGGCATCTCATTCACCATTGCAAATGAAAACAGCATACTGCTAAATACCATGATTCTCCATAAAACGTAAGACAGTGCAAACTTCTCAAAGTCTCAAAAAATTCACAAACAGTCATATAATTATATACTTTAAGCACCATTGTTAGTCTATTCATTACTGAATACACATAAGATAATCACAACGTGGTGGATGCATTTCCTGTAAATGTGCCGAGAGTATTCGCTGACTATCAAGGAAGAGCCCATTTTAGGATTCAACGTATGCGTTAGTGTGAGTGCATGTGTGCTGGGTCCGTCAAAAGAGAGAGTCGCTGACCCAGCAACCTCTGACAGACATCAGAATACAATGAAGATGTAAAGCACAATCGTATAATCGATATTTAAAAGGTATGATGAAATGCAAATAATGACATCTTCTGAAAAACGGATGTTTTGAGAAGCAGAGAAATGGTAAACAGCATACTGCTAAATACCATGATTCTCCATAAAACGTAAGACAGTGCAAACTTCTCAAAGTCTCAAAAAATTCACAAACAGTCATATAATTATATACTTTAAGCACCATTGTTAGTCTATTCATTACTGAATACACATAAGATAATCACAACGTGGTGGATGCATTTCCTGTAAATGTGCCGAGAGTATTCGCTGACTATCAAGGAAGAGCCCATTTTAGGATTCAACGTATGCGTTAGTGTGAGTGCATGTGTGCTGGGTCCGTCAAAAGAGAGAGACGCTGACCCAGCAACCTCTGACAGACATCAGAATTACAATGAAGATGTAAAGCACAATCGTATAATCGATATTTAAAAGGTATGATGAAATGCAAATAATGACATCTTCTGAAAAACGGATGTTTTGAGAAGCAGAGAAATGGTAATGGGAAACGTTTTCGTTCTTTGTCTCTGTGGTCACAGTGATTTCACACAAAAGCATTAAGTGCTGGACAGGGGAACTTTCGAGCTACACTGAAAGCTTTGCAATGGACATATGATTTTTTTTTTGTGGAGCATCAGGTCAATCTCACAAAAACTTGACAAATTGCATCCCAAAATCAAAAGTAACTATATTTTGCAGATTATGCAGTCATCTTGACAATTTTTTGTGAAATTCACCAAACAGTAATCTTCCATGAAGCAAATAAAGAGTCACAATCGATACTATCCTGCACATTCTAGAAGCAATTATATCCATAGTCTACGGCAACCTCTCCTCAGTGCTATAAGTTGATCTGTAAAGACATTGCACATTGCCCCGATACTCCTGCGATCGCTTCCTATTAGATCAGATGTTGACAGGGGGCTATCATGTCAGCTTTAGCTTCATGTCACATTTTAGGGAAATGCTAAACAGCTATATCCCTAAAAGATCATTGAAAAATAATAATGAATCTTCTTCGTAATATGTTGTTGTTGTTATATGAGTACTATCCATGATGGACCCTCTGTCAGTTTACCTGAAGGCTCTGTTTCAAAATCTAGTGAGCTAGATACCTTAAGAAGCTGCCTCAAGAGACATGAATTAAAACAGATTTCAATAGAGTTTGATGGTGACATGTTGCTAAGCTGTTTTCTATAATTTTTGGTACTGAATTAATTACAAAATACACAAGAGTTTTGATGCTTACAGTTGATTCCAGTAGAATTTGATGTTAGCATGTTGCTAAGCTAACGCAAGGCAATGGTCTAATAAGCACAAATTCATAACACACCTAAATATTGGGTGTAAATATCTATTTATAAATGCACTGGGGTATTTTTCCCATTCAGACTATGTATAGAATTGACAGTGCCCACTTTCTCCAACATCTTGAATTGATTTCTTCAGTGAAATTGCCTTTTCTTGGAAGGATGCTACCTTTGCGGAAGCACACCTATAAATGGTGTTTCCTAAATGCTGTTTAGATAGGCAACTCACTAGGTTTAGGAAGAGAGGTCATACAAAAGCAAGCAATTAAATGAAATTGTTTGGGAGTCGAATTACTTTTGAAAGCTAGCACCGCTATGCTGAAAACCAGGCAGCAACATCTACTTTGAAATGACCTCTTTACAAACATATCTGGCTAGATTTGTCTTAATCTTCAAACTCTCAACTGCATGTATCTGTTTACTATTCTTGCTCACTCACACTATCTACATACTTTTCATTCTTGTTGTCTTTAAGTGACCTTTTTTATTGCTGTAGTAGCTTTTTGTTCTCTCAGTGTGATGTGATCTTAGGATCATATTTCCATGAAGCATTCAGTGGTTGGCTCCTTCTTTTGACAATTTAACCTGATTATGTTTCAACGAACAGTGTCAATGTACCTGAAGTGTCATTGTTATACATTTAGAGGGATGTATGTAAAGATACAGAGTTTACATGTGTCTCCTTTTCAGCTATACTCCCAGATACTGATTTAGGTGTTATTGGAGGTACATGGCCATTTAAGCAAATAAATGAATCGTCTTAGAGTAATTGTGCTTGGTAGTGCGTTTCCAAATAAGAGTGAAAAGAGGATAAACTGGCTTGTACTCAAAGACAAACCTGATTAATATGAAACTGAATAACATTATGTACATAAAACCAGTAAAAGCAAAAGGAGAACTTGAGAAGGTAGGGGATTTATTGGGAGGTGTGGGTTTTCTTGGGGTGGGTTATAATGCCCTCAATGTAAACTTTAATGCATCAGTGGCAGACGTTGCGCTGGCACGGTTGGTGCAGGAAGGAGTTGCGGGTGTGGGTTGCGCGCCGTTGCACCTGTTCACGCACACGGTTTTGGCGCTGCATGCGGTTGCGTGCCAGGTGGCGACGCTCAGTGCGGGCTTTGGCCCTCTGGACCCTGGAGACCTGGGTGACTTTAGCCAGGGCGCCTGCTTGTGCGGCTGCTCCTCGGGTCACCCGTGTGGGCATGCTGCTCCTGGTCATTACGGGCGCTGCTGATTCAGACATCCTGCTGGAACAGTGCAGATAGGAGGAGGAATGGAAAGCATTGGAGTGAGAAGCAAATGGACAGAATGGAGTGAAAATGAAATGAGAAGATAAGAAGATGGAAGACAAAATTAGGACATTGTCCAAGTTTTTCATATTCAGCATGATTTTTATTTGGTGTAAGTCAGGGGTGTCCAGTCCTGCACCTGGAGAGCCAAAGTCCTGCAGTGTTTATCTCTAGTTCGCTACAACACACCTTGATTAGCTGGTTCAGGTGCGTTTAACTGGGGATGGAAATCAACTCTGCAAGAGGCCCGTGAGGACCAGGATTGGACACTCCTGGTGTAAGTGCTGACATTTCCTACAACAGGGGTGTCCAAACCTGTTCCTGGAAAGCCAATGTCCTGCAGAGTTTAGCTCCAACTTGCCTCAACACACTTGCCTGGATGTAGGGCTGCACGATAAATCGAAATGAAATGCAATTGTTATGTGTATCTTTCAGTGAAGCACGGTTCTGTGATCAGCAGTAAGTCTCCATCCGAAGGCCAGAGGGCGCTCTCGCGAGGAAACACCAAATACGCCCCGCAGAAGAAACCCAGGAAATTCCTATAGCGGTTGCTGAATAAACGGAAGATTTAAATGCTTTCTTTGATTCAACGTGACTAATAAACACATGGCTATGGCAATATATGGTTTATCTGAGTTCTTATTATTATAATTTTTATTATAAAAAAGTATATAATAATGCAATGTTAATCGACATAGCCTTTATCACTGCTTAGAATACTATGAAATATGTTGCATGCCTTATTCTGTGTAAGAAGCCACATCATCTCAAAGAAGGATATTTCAAACACTCGGCTGACGTTATGAAGTGAGTTTGGAGTAAAAATATTATTAAATGTGGTATTTTCATGTGCTTTCAGATGGAGCAGCATTTACTACACAGAGCCGTAGTTTACCGAGAAGCTACGCAAACAGCTGTCATTATCGTGAACGATTTCTTCGATTTCATAATCGGTTGATTATATTGTCTGCGTTTTGCGTAGCTTGCTGCTCCATCTGAAAGCAGGTTATGGAGATTTACTACTAATCACAGAGCCTGCTTTACTGACAACATGTGCATGACAATCGCATTCGATTAATCGTGCAGCCCTGCCTGGATATTTCTAGTATGCCTAGTAAGACCTTGATTAGCTGGTTCAGGTGTGTTTAATTAGGGTTGGAGATAAACTCTGCAGGACATTGGCCCTCCAGGAGGAGCAGGATTGGACACTCCTGGTGTAAGTGCTGACATATCCTACAACAGGAGTGTCCAAACCTGTTCCTGGAAGGCCAATGTCCTGCAGAGTTTAACTCCAACATGAACACGCTTGCCTAGAAGTTTCTAGTGAGTATAAAGATCTTGTTTAGTTGGTCCAGGTGTTTTTAATTAGGGTTGATAAACTCTGGAGGAAAGTGGCCCTCCAGGAACTGATTTGGACACCCCTGTCTTACAATATTTATTACATACAAATGTTGAATGCATTGGTTTATAGATGAACAACAGTGGTCATTAACAGCCAATTTAAGTGGTCAGTTTTTTCATTTAGGAATGTCTGATCTTCACGATATAGAGAATATTATTGCAGGGTACATTTAAGAGGCAGTGTACCAAATTTAGTAAAAAATCATCCACCAGGTGGTACTATATGTGAATTTCTTATAGGCTACGTCCGAAAGCTTAGGCAGCTGACTTGCTGCCCTATCAGGCAATGAATATGCAGACAGAAAGTACCTCCCATAACTGATTTTGAACAGGCTTCTGAGCTTAATAGTTTAATGATCTACAACATACAGATAGAAAGAACTCTGGTGATAACTAAGCAGATTATTTAATTATGGTAGTACAAATTCCTTGTTAGAAATGACATGAAAACTTGGTCAAAAACATACATTTAAACACAAACTGACCACCAACTACATGGTTCAGGCACCATATTAATTTTTTTTGCTTAATTGTCACGGAATTGAATGCATAGAATCGTGGGATATCATAGGCAGTGAAGGATACATCTGTGCTGCCTTCAGAAAACGATCACATGAAGGTATCACAGCAGACAGGATATGACATGATCATTGGATTCGGACATTGACATGCCTTGTTGCTTTCCTATCTCTGTATGCTGCCTGCAGATGTCGCGTTTTTCAGCTTTCGGACGTAACCATATTATGTACTAACTAGGCCAGGTCTAGGCAACTCTGGCCCTTGAGATCCACTTTCCTGCAGAGTTTAGCTCCAACCTTGATCAAACTCGCCTACCTTTAGCTTTCTAGTAATCCTGAAGACCGTGATTAGCTTGTTCAGGTGTTCGATTAAGGTTGGAGCAAAGCTCATAAGCTGCATTTCCATTACCCTTCAAATTGCGCAAACTGAAATTGCTAATTGAAAATACGCCTATTGGAAACACGCCAATTTCGTGAAAACTCCCATATATCGCAAAAAAAGTTTACGCTCACATGAGGTGGTTTTTCAGGTAATTCGAAAAATGATTATTTAGCAAAATTGCAATGGAAATGGTTATTTCGCATTCACAGGTCACCTGGCGTACATAAGTCACATGATCATTCTTTAATGTACTATGACCTCAAAGAAACACCTCATGCGTGGCAGCTCTCAAGTATAAGGGGCTTTTCTTGTCATTAATGCTTGGATAACCCCTTATTTACACTACATTACGGCTACGACACGGCCACTCTAGTCAATGATTGTGTTCATACCAGCTGCGCCGCGGCATGTTTCAGAAGCATCCCAAAAGCAAATCTCTGCGCTCCTTCTCTAAAAATACACGCCTACATCTCCTTCGATTAAAAATAATGGCTAGTGCGGTGGCTGCAATATACGTAAACCTACCAACACCTGTCACCATGACTTATCGCGAGAAAATTTGTTTTAATTTTAGTCGCATAACATGGAAACAATGGAAAGTGTTTTTTTTATCGACATTTATAAAATATCGCAAAGGTTTTGCGCAAATCTGTAATTGAAACGCACCTATAGAACCCCTGAACTAGGCCCAACAAAATGTCAACACCAGCAAGCAATAAATCAAGATGTGTTAATCCAGGGGTGTCCAAACGTGGTCCTGGAGGGCCACTGTCCTTCAGAGTTTTCCTTCTGCTTGCCTCAACACACCTGCCTGCAAGTTTCCAGTTTGCCCAGTAAGACCTTGATTAGCTGGTTCAGGTGTGTTTAATTGGGATTGGAGCTAAACTTTGCAGGGCATCGGCCCTCTAGGAACAGGATTGGACACCCCTGCATTAGTCCATGTTTTTGTCCTAACCAACTGTGACGACAAGACATTTTGTCAGTCACCAGTGGCCTGTAGCACGAAGCGAGATGAACAAACTCTAAGTTGCAGAGTAAGTTTTGAGTTGACAAAAAGCCAACCTGGTTTAGACCAAGTTCACCGGGCTCACAAAGCCTGATACAAACGTTCTCTGTCAACTCGGAGTTTGAACCAGGGTTTGTGATTAACTCTGGAGTATGTGCACCTGAACGTGTGGCACTTCTCGCAAGAGTCAGCGCAATTCACTTTTCTGCTGAATTTTACCATCAGTTCAAGCCCGAAAAGGGAACAGAGTCGCGTGACAGACACAGTGATGATGCTCGTATGTATTTGCAGTACACAAGCCGCGATTAAGAAAGCTGACTCTGTGATCACGCACACACACACATACGACGCGATACACTACACGGCGCCAAAAATCTGCGCCAGATTGTCATAGCAAAGTCAGAATTGACCCATTTTATTTTAGAAATAGCCTTTGCACAGCCAGCCTTGTAGGCTACTCTCCTAGGTTCACAAAACTGTCGTCCATAAAATGCGTTGCACAAATTCGAACATCTGGGTTGTGCTGTTCTGTTGTAAATAAATCTTAACCAATGATTCCTCATTGCATCTACTTCCGGAAGGCCAAATAAAGTGCTTTTGCTTTCGCACAGAAACACACAGCGTCTCCCTGACATGGCTGCATCAACACTACTGCGGTTCCTGAAACCACGCCTTCTTTCTTTTCATGAACATTTGGGCGGCATTATGCTAATATTTCCGCATCGTGACGTAGACATGTGGGGGCGTGTTTGAATGAGGCGTTTTAGCCCGGGCTGGATCAGCCTTCTCTTTTAGATAGAATAAATCCTTTTGTGGGAGACTTTGAGCTTTGTAACTCTGCAGATCTTATACATGCACAAATAGCTACATAACACACTAAAGAAAAGGAAAAATAGAAATCGCATCATATGACCCCTTTAAATACGAAGCTTAAAATTAATTGCCACTTCATATAAAAATATGAATATACTCTATGAATTATAAACAATTACAATTAATTTAATATAAATATAATAAATAAGTAGCTGCAAAAGTCAGGCAATTTTGTCTCAAAAAATTATTTGACTGTAAACTGCTTTAATTTGGAGCGAGAGATACGGGGGAGTGGCTTCATTGCATCAGATATGTCACTGCTCACAGCTGATTGGTCCAGTTTGGGTTTGCGATCTCTAACCCAGAATAAAACCTGCTCTGGAGCAGGATAGCCATGTAGCGCGAGTTACCATGGTGATGAAACCCGCTCAAAACCAACCCATCATCTTGAGCCCGAAAACTCAGAGTTTGCTCAAACTAAATGTGAACTTACCTGGGTAAAGCAACAAACACAAACCAAGTGAAATCTCACTGCAGAAAAGAACGCAAACAGCGGAAGTTAAATTTACCTGACACTGCCATTCAGGCTGGTGGTGCTCTCTTCCACCGCAGGGAGAGGGCCAGCGGAGACGTACACAGACATGCTGGGGTGCTCGATGAGGAGGTCCTCCATGGGGCTAGCCTCCGCCGTGGCTCCCTCTGCAGTAAAACAGGGGGGAGGGGTGACAAACCAGCTCTCATCCATGCTGCAGGAACACGGTCCCCGCTCACTTAACAACACATTCACTTCTACTGACTCAAGGTGAGAGAAGGAGGCGGGATCAGGAGGAGAGCAGATGGAAGGGAAGGAAGGATGTGCCGCCTGTATCCTGCCTGCTCTAGTCCTGCGGTTTCTGCAGGTGGGAGGAGAGGGGCCGCATATCTGAGATGCATGACATTCACTGCGGGGACGGGCGCATGCTACTGAAGCTGCCTCTGGCCCATCCTCACCTTCAGTGAAGTAGGAAGTGATAGAAGACAGAACAGGGTGTGTTTCCAGAATATGAAAGGTTTGGTTGAAGCCATGCAAGTGGGGGATGCCAGTACCATGAGCACACATACCAATAAAAGGAAATCATTCAAATATGGACAAATGAGAAGGGATACAGAAACAACAGAAAAACATAAAATACTACCATTAGTTGCTTTAAAACCCTTTTAAATTATCATGATCTACTCACCATGTACTACTTTGTACTACTAAGTCCCAACAACTTGGTTCCAAAACCTAGTGAGATGCCTACTTGTGCAGCATTTCAAATGGAAAGCGTGTCATTTCTAGTAATAGTCTGAACAGCCCAATGGACCTTTTACACATTTCCGGGTTTCTCAGCAGCGGAAGTCGTCATAGTTTGGTTAACTTCGAGAGCAGTGAATGGGAGAGTACCACAAAAATATAATAGAGAGAGACTGATAATGGCAGTCAGAAGAGAGAACGATGTCAAATTTACCGTCCCTCCCATTGGCGCTGCATTAGAAACACCCTCCCATTAGCGTTAACTCGTTTTTTTTTTTTTTTGTAATTTGATGCAGATGTAATATAATACAAATAATAGTGTTATAAATTTACATACATAAAAATAAAAAAAATAAAATTATGAAAAACTTTCGAGGATTTACGATGCTGATGACCGTTAAACGCGTCACAGTCTTGTGACACTTACTCAGCCATTGGCGACAGTTGGGAGGGACTATCGTGAATAATGGCTAAAAGAGGGAGATTGTAACAGGAATTACACACTTCACCAAACCTCAGAGCCCAGGGGTTGATAGAGTTACCTGTTCATTAAAACCAGATTATTATTTCAGGTAGTTATGCTGACCGTTTTACTAACTTGCTTAGGGATATGTTGGTGCCAATAGCCTAGAAGGCAGTGTGCTGACATAAAAGGCCGTTATGTTGCGGGTATCCTGAGTTTGAGTCCGAGTCCCGGACCCCTCGCTCTCTCCTACTTCGTTTCCTGTCTACTTTTGGCAAAAAAAAAAAAAAAAAAAACTTGCATGGATATTTGCTGCATTCAAAATATGTCTACAACCTTGCTATATAGTATGTGAAAACAGCACACCAAAGGAGTAGTATGCAGTAATGTTAAGAAAAAAATGGTAGGTGAGAAGTACCTGGATGACCTATTACTTCTAATGAGGTTCTGGAGCACACATTCGATGTACAGTTTACTGTGCTGAGTTGCGAATGGCACTGATGCTGGCTCACGCAGCAGTGATAATATGGTGGATCTAGTATTTCTGAATTTTATTCATACTACTTATATTTATACTACATTGAACATAGGGCTGCACGATAAATCGAAATGAAATCGAAATCGCGATTAGGCAGAAGCTGCGATTGTCATGCGTATCTTTCAGTGAAGCACGGTTCTGTGATCAGCTGTAAATCTCCATCCGAAGGCCAGAGGGCGCTCTCGCGAGGAAACTCCAAATACGCCTCGCAGAAGAAACCCAGGAAATCCCTATAGCAGTTGCTGAATAAACAGAAGATTTAACTGCTTTCATTGATTCAACATGACAAATAAACACACGGCTACAGCAATATGGTTTATCGGAGTTCTTATTATTATCATTTTTATTATAATAAAGTATATAATAATGCAATGCTAATCGACATAGTGATAAAGGCTGCTTAGAATACTTTGAAATATGTTGCGTGCCTTATTCTGTGTAAGATGTCACATCATCTCACAGAAGGATTTACTTCAAACACTCGGCTGACGTTATGAAGTGAGTTTGGAGTAAAAACATGTTATTAAATGTGGTATTTTCACGTGCTTTCAGATGGAGCAGCATTTACTTCACAGAGCCGTAGTTCACTGACAAGCTATGCAAACAGCTGTCATTATCGTGAACCATTTATTCGATTTCATAATCGTATGATTATATCGTCTGCGATTTGTTTGCGCAGCGTAGCTTGTCAGAGATCTACGGCTTTGTGTAGTAAATGCAGCTCCATCTGAAAGCAGGTGATGGAGATTTACTATTAATCACAGAACCAGCTTTACTGACAAGATGTGCATGACAATCGCATTCGATTAATCGTGCAGCCCTAATTGAACATATTTAATGCTTTCAAATCAAATGTAGTACCTGCTAGACAGTATGCGATTTTGGACTATAGCACACTAAGTCTGAAATTGTCGTTTGCGTTTTTTTCGTATTCGTCATCCTTTCCTATCAAAATGCTTGTTACGGATGTGAAAACGCAGAAAATCGAACCTGATCCAAATTATTTTATGATGGATGAAAGTTTCGGTGGCAGTGTGTAAACGTGATTGACACAGCGTGAGGTCGTGTTTACTTTTTAACATGCAAAAATTTCAGACAAGAATTTCAAAATCAACTGAATGTGTGCAATGACCTTATGATGGTAGTTGATCTGGAATAGAAAGCTATGCTAATTTTGTTGATGTTGCTATTTGTGCGATGTACACCATTAGCACCATTTGCATTCTTTGAGTTATTATATGCTGTATGGCACATTTTGAACTCAACGACACACAAAATTGAGCTGTGCAGCTACAAGTATTTATATTTACATACAAAGAGTATGATTTGGGCCTTAAGAGTATCATATCTTTAGCTTAGCAAAATGCTATTTTTAGCATTTGATGATTCCTGTGGGCTTTGCCTGAGGATTACTATTTGCATGTTATGCATGCATGACTGTTAAAACAGTTGCTGGCTATGAAAAGCATTGCAGACCGGGTTCCATGGTGGTTGTGGTGATGCCTCACAAGCTGCCGTAAATAGTGAGGCAGGTCACTAGGTTTTGGAACCAAGCCGATTTTTCCAAATTCATAAAGATTAATTCATTACATTCAGTAGATTGTTGCCTTTTTACTCCGACATACTCTTCAAACTTGAAACTAACTTAAATATAATTTGTTCCTTGCCTTTATTTTAAATTTAGTAAATGTATACATTTAGGTCCCATTAAAGGCAGAGTTTTGTGTTGTTTGTGTAGGACACTCACCGTGCAGATTGACCAGGAGCCATCCCTCTTCATCAGCCTCAGACACACAGGGCTTCGGTCCCTTCAGATCTGGAGTAACTTCTTCTTCGCTTCCGTTTTTTAATAGCTGTTTAATTAACTAAAGTTGCTAATTTTTGTGTTTTTGTCAGTGATGTAACAGATGGCAGGTTGATCACAGGTGTATTGGCCTTTTTTGAGTCTTCAGAGAAGGCGCAGTATAATATAAGGTCTCACTTGGTGCAAAGATCTACATTTGACAAAGACAGAAAAAAAAAGAACAGACTTGGTCAAGAAAACCATATCATAAAATAACATTAAATAAAAATAACATTTAGCAACCTCTAGAACAATCAATTTAGTGGCACTATGAGTATTTGGCTTTTTTTTAATTTTTTTTTTACATTTTGTAATGTAATATAATAATGTGGTTTATAAATAATTTACATTTATTTATTTACTTATTGTTTACAGATGAATCCAAGGCAACCGTGGCCATATATTTGAAAAACAGTAAAGCAAAAAGCGAATATGAATGCAAAACGCATAAGAGCAGTGAACAGGAGCATATAATGCGGAGAGAGACTGAGCGCAAAGGGTCACAGCAATGACAGCTCGGATCAAGGGTATTACCAGCTCTCAAATCACTCATATAACCACAGCCTGTATACAGCAGCCCTAAAAATCACATTCTCTTCAATAATAAAGCTGGTTTCATCAAAATCCGACGGTTGATGAGCGAGTTGCTGCAGATACAGGCTTGTCCCTAACGTAACATATCACACATCTAACTCACTGCTTCTAAACACGACTTGAAAACACAATATTGTAATGAATGCTATTTTTAAGCGACTTCTGTATGAAAAGATCAGAAAACCATCGACTGGCTTTGGTCTCTGCTATAAATACGATCTATCACGAGAGCAAAATAATGATGTCTTATGATAGGAATGACAACAGAATAAAATACTGTTCATACAGCTTTTATTAGCGCTTGCTTTCTACAAGGCAGGTCTGATCTAGTCCAGTTTCAACAGACGGACTAAAGTCTGCTACAAAACAGAAGAGATTCAGCATCTTACCTGTCTTACCTGCAAAATTATTCAAGTTGTAAACGTGAAGACCACACAATAAAAACAACAAAAATCTTAAAGCATAGCTTTAGGTATTCTTTTTGTATGAGGTAGTAATTTCACAAAAAAATGAAAAAGTCTTTCTTCTTAGAAGAAATCTGCGTGTAAATCGTGATTTACACGTCGCTTCAGTCGTCGCATCTGCAGCTTGTGTGTGTTTCCAGCAGATATGGTTTGTGATGTTATTGCTTCGCCAGCTGATCCGCTGATCAGAATATAGGACGTTCAGAACAGCTGATTGTGACGTCACGGCGCTGGCAGCAACGGCCTGACTCCGCCCACTCCGGCCGCTGGACCAATCAGAGGCTTACACCAGAGTGAAGCGGTGGGGGTTGGGCAGATAGAGTTATCATCAGCGTCATTGTACTTTAAAAAATCGCTTATGAATTCGCACACATCTACATTCAGCCTTAAAGCGGAAAGCATTTAGTATAGCTTGCGTGGTTTTATTGTGTATAGAATAATGCTGAAAAAGAATAAGGTTATTAGATGTTTACACTGTCAATACAGTTATTTTTATCTAGCACAGTTGAAAGTTATTTAAACTGTAGTCAGAGGTGTGTAACCATAAAATATTTTGACATAAAGGCCAAGCGAGCTGATATGAAATGATTTCACAGGCTTGCATCATTCGTTTGACTATATGTGATCCTGGACCACAAAACCAGTCATAAGTGTAGATTTATCATACACTGAATAAATAAGCTTTCCATTGATGTATGGTTTGTTAGGATAGGACAATATTTGAGATACAACTATTTGAAAATCTGGAATCTGAGGGTGCAAAAAAATCAAAATATTGAGAAAATCGCCTTTAAAGTTGTCCAGATGAAGTTCTTATGAAAGCACATTACTGTTTTGATATATTTACGGTAGGAAATTTACAAAATATCTTCATGGAACATGATCTTTACTTAATATCCTAATGATTTTTGGCATAAAAGAAAAATGGACAATTTTGACCCATACAATGTATTGCTACAAATATACCCCAGCGACTTAAGACTGCTTTTGTGCTCCAGGGTCACACATTGTCATTGCCTTTGGCTTGTCTGAGGTGCCTGTTTGAAATATAATGTCACTGGTGTGGCTTGGGCCGGTAAAGTGCATTTCTGGTAATGCAGGTAATATAATCGGTGTTATGTGAGCTCTGTCTCTTTAAACAGTGTTTGTAAATATTGCCTGTCCCTCCCTCTCCACATTCCTCACTATGGGGGCGGGACTTAGACTGCCACGTGTCTCAAGCAACCAATCACAACTCCTGGTCTGAAAACTGACATGTCAGCAACCAATGGAAAACAACTGGTATTTGGAAAGCTTTGACTGGCGTTTTTAAGCTTCAGGATCTTTAGATAGTAACTCGTATTATTTTTATTTGCATATTTGTTCTAACACTAGCAGACATGTAATAATTGTATGGTGATTACACATTACTAGACAATAGTAGCAATAGCAAAATTTTAATTGCATGTATTTTAGGATTATGAGAGAGACAGATTTATAGATCAGGATATTATAAAGACTTTTTAAGTGGCCTCTTTTGATTTGGGTCAGTTATCTAGCAGCCATAAATCCTAGTAATCACTTAACAATGCGCTTGTACCTAATAAAACATTTTAGCAACAGACTAATTATGATCATAAATATAACTTTGCAGTGGACACTTTTCAGGCTGTGATGGCACGTTTCCACACTTATTAACATCAGAAATCTAGCAGTGTATATACTATACAGTATGTCAAAACAATGACACCTTTCCCATAATTCCTCCCTTTCTCTGAGTCACCTGGTGATTGGTCTTCTACACCCTGGATGTGGTTGTCATTATTGAAATAACAACAATAAACTTGGACATGATCCTACATAAAACTGCTAGAACAATAATTAAAATGAAAACTGAATAAGCAGAGACAAAAGCCTCCAGCCTGTGCTTTTATCTCACACCTGCCCTACAGAATCAAACAGGCACGGCACAACATGCCCTGTTTGGTACGTGATATTACATATTGAGCAAGCAAAGTGTTCTGTCATTAACCAGGATGTTTCACAAGAAAATATGTTTACACACACACACACACACACACACACACACACATGTCTGGTTTGCTATCCTTGTGGGGACTCTCCATAGGCGTAATGGTTTTTATACTGTACAGACCGTAGGTTTTATACTAAACCTACCCCTCACAGGAAACTTTCTGCATTTTTAGATTTTCAAAAAACTTCATTCTGTGTGATTTATTAGCTTGTTTACCCGTGGGGACCTCAATTTAGGTCCCCACCGTGACACGAGTCCCCATGAGTCTGTGTGTATTCAGGTTTAAGTCCCCACCAGAATAGAAAAACAGGTACACACACACACACACACACACACACACACACACACAGAGAAGGACTCTCCATAAACATATTGATTTTTATATGATTTGACCTTTATATTTTATCTCCTAACTCTAACCCTAACTCTATCCAAATCCTCACAGGAAAACAAAACTTCACTTAGTATTGATACTCTTTTCCTCACAGGGACTGAAATTTTGTCCTCACAATGTCAAACATTTCAAGTTTTACTATCCTTGTGGGGACATTTGGGAAAACATGAACCACACATATACAGGTGAGTAAATCTGATGTGTTATATAATACATTTCTTTGTCCTGTCCCAGAATGATAATGTGCACAACAAAACATAGACAATTACGAATTAATTGTGGAAATGCAATTCAAGTTTGAATTTAGGGAGGCAGAACTACAATCACATAACTACTGTATTTAATTTTAAATAATATTTCTCTACATATATTGTCACATGTTTGTTTCTGTTCTCCCGATTACGTTCCATGTGTTTATAAGCCCTGTGTTTTCCTCTGTTCCCTTGTCTTGCGTTAAAGTTACATCGTGGTTGTTGTCTCCCTCTGTTTCCAAGTGTTTTGTTCTTGTTTTGATAATTAAAGACTCTCGTGGATTACTTCCTCTCCGTGTGCTTCCTCAGCACCACGACCCATGACAGAACGCAAGACCTCAAAACCTGAAAGTAAGCGGCGTCTTTTCCCCCATGTTTGTTTTCAGCCTTTTTTGAATAGTTTTTGTTTTCCTGTTTTTTCCCCCCCACGGCATGGAAACGTTTCGCCACTCCAAAGACGAGCCCGCCAGCCCGCCAGCCGCTCCGAGTCCGAAGGCCGCTAAGAAGTCAACCCCGCCGGCCGAGGCTTTCTCAAGCCCGCCGGCCGCCATTGACCCAAGCCCGCTGGTCACCGCAATGGCAAGCCCGCCAGCCGTGCCTTTCACCCCGAGCCTAGAGGGGAATCTGAGGAGAAGGCGATTGGTTCCGGTCTCTAGGCGCGCTCCAGTGTCGACTTCAGCCCCAGAGCTCGCTCCAGTATCGGCTCCAGCCCCTG